CTTGGTTCCTCCAGGACAAAGGGATAGAAGTCCACTGAGATTCTAGAATACTGGCTGGTTAAGCAACACCTTGACCCTGAAGGGACCTTGTAAGCCACATTAGAGTGTTTGGTCTTGATTCCAAAGAAACCACTAAAAGTGTCAGTAGGTTGCAAACAGCAAGAACCAGGCCTCACTGTTGCCGGTTATACCCAAATGCCTATAGCTTAGGGGTGCATGATAATACTTGGAATGACATAGATAAAATTAATAGGAAACTGATTTTTTGATTTGGGTTGATCAGCTGAGTAAAAATCATAAAATCATTTGAGGATCAAAAACCATCACATGTTTTTATCTCACCTGCTCAGTGAGCAAAACTAAATCAATCCACCTTCCCTAGGGGACTTGTGAGATAATTATCATAAAGAATTTTGAAATGTAGGAAGATAGCAGAAATGCTAGCAGATCACAAGTTATTCTTGGCTTTTAAAGAATTACAAACCGAAAGAAAGAAAGAAAGAAAGAAAGAAAGAAAGAAAGAAAGAAAGAAAGAAAGAAAGAAAGAAAGGAAATGAATCACAAACCTGATTTTAAGAAAGAAAGAAAGAATCACAAACCTGATTTTAAGGAATCATTGCCTGATTACAACTTTAAAACTCATAGACTGCCAATTTTCCAACTAAGCTAATAATAATTTCAAGGGCAATAATACAATACTTGTATGGTAAAGGCTTATCATGGCCAGACCCCTTATTTAGCACTTGGTGTGCATTATTAATTAGCCCTTACAATTGTTCTGTGAGATTGACACTATTATTATATTTATTTTCTGGATGAAGGAATCTTATTTATTTTCTGGATGAGGGAACCATTGTGTACTTCCCAAAGATCCAGTAGCTAGCAAGTGTCAAAACTAGGACTCAAACCCAAGGTTTCTGATCCCATCACCTTAACCGCAGTGTTTTTTTTTTTTAGCATACAGCCAAAGGGAAAGTTCTAGAAAGCACTGGAGGTGGGAAGTGACCGCCGTAGCTCTCTGATGCCAAGGGAAAAGCTTAAAAGAACTTTTATTCTAATCCTGCACGAACCCTCTCCTTACTTCTGATAGGTCCCTACAGTTTATGCTGACCTTATTTGTTCTGAAGTAACTGGGTAGGAGACACAGGTAACAGCTAAATTAGAAATAGCTAATACAGGGGTACCTGGGTGGCTCAGTTGGTTAAGTATCCGATTTCAGCTCAGAGCACGATCTCACAGTTAACAAGTTCGAGCCCCGCATTGGGCGTTGTGCTGACAGCTCAGAGCCTGCTGCTTGCTTTGGATTCTTTGTCTCCTTCTCTCTCTCTCTCTGTCCCTCCCCTGCTCTCTCTCTGTCCCTCCCCTGCTCTCTCTCTCTCTCAAAAATAAATAAAAACATGAAAAAAAAAAAAAAGAAAGAAAAGAAATAGCTAATACAAATGTATCTCATTAATTTTATGACTGGTCAAATAAATGTAGCATTTTAGGTAGAATTGGTCTCCTCTCTCCTGCAATTTATGCATTGTTAAGTTTACGGTTATCTGACATCTTTATTTCTTGATCTTCTTTGATGTATACCTGATGAAGTAAGATGATGCTTCTTATTTGACTAAGGCAGCCAAACCCTAATTTTCCTGCCAAAGGTTTTATGGCCTTTCCTTACAAGTAGTCTTACTTTATAACAGTAAAGGAATAATTTTATTTTGAAATGCATGAATCATTTCTAAAGTGATTCAGAGATTATGAATTTAATTTTTATTCTCTTTCCAATCTTGGCCTAATATTTGCCAATAATACTTGAGTCTAAATTAATATGTTTTCAAAACTTAATTGAGGTAGTGATTTTTTATTAACTATGGAATAAAAAACATATACCAAATAGAATTTTTGCTAGATCTTTTAGAATGGTTCTACCTCCTTTATCTTCTCAAGTTTACAAGTAGCAGGAAAAAAAGAATTAGCTAATGTAGAGTATGATGAATTATCTGAAAACAATGATGAAGTGTATGGAATATGTTACAATACTATTGCTGTTATACTATCATTTACACTTTTTATGTTTTCCTAATTGGTTTCTTATAGGTATTGATGCTATTTTCTCCAGTGCATTTGCTTGTATTATTGTATATAAAGATATATACTTTGGGGCGCCTGGGTGGCGCAGTCGGTTAAGCGTCCGACTTCAGCCAGGTCACGATCTCGCGGTCTGTGAGTTCGAGCCCCGCATCAGGCTCTGGGCTGATGGCTCAGAGCCTGGAGCCTGTTTCCGATTCTGTGTCTCCCTCTCTCTGACCCTCCCCCGTTCATGCTCTGTCTCTCTCTGTCCCCAAAAAAATAAATAAATGTTGAAAAAAAAAATGAAAGATACATACTTTTTGTATCCTTAAAAATATATATTTTATTGCATATATACATATGTGTGTGCATATGTATGTATATATATATGTGTTTAATATATAAAATTTTAATATATTTATATTTTACATATATTTGTACACGTTTATATATTTTTATTAAAATTATTTTTTTTTCTTTTTTTTTTTAATTTTTTTTTCAACGTTTATTTATTTTTGGGACAGAGAGAGACAGAGCATGAACGGGGGAGGGGCAGAGAGAGAGGGAGACACAGAATCGGAAACAGGCTCCAGGCTCTGAGCCATCAGCCCAGAGCCTGATGCGGGGCTCGAACTCACAGACCGCGAGATCGTGACCTGGCTGAAGTCGGACGCTTAACCGACTGCGCCACCCAGGCGCCCCTTAAAATTATTTTTTAATGTTTATTTATTTTTGAGAGAGAGAGAGAGACAGACTGTGAGCAGGGGAGGGACGGAGAGAGAGGGAGGCACAGAATCTGAAGCAGGCTCCAGGCTCTGAGCTGTCAGCATAGAGCCCGACATGGGGCTTGAACTCACGAACTGTGAGATCATGACCTGAGCAGAAGTCAGATGTTTAACCAACTGAGCCACCCAGGTGCCTCTTAAAATTATTTTTAACGAATGAGGAAAGGATCAAAGAAATCTTGAGAGATCCAATCTAATTTCAGGCACATTCTTTCAGGAACTTGAAACCATCCTAGAAAATATTGTTGTTCTCTTGAAAATATCCAGAGATATTCATATAATCATATATTTTTGCCTTACTTGCCCTAAACAAACAAAAATGGGTAGGTAAAGTCTCGTTGGCTTAAAATTCCATTTAGTAAGGTGTTTTTAAAGCATGTTAGACATTTTACAAAATTACTATGTTTCACTGGAATCAAGAGGGAACAATTTAAATAGCAGCATAGATAGAAAGGCTTCCCTCCCATCCCCCAACTCACTCTTCCTTTCCATGAGCATCAAGGTTGTCACTGGTGCAATTGCTTTTCAGAATTTTTTTTGTAAATGATGAGAGAGGCAATTACAAGCAGTTCTCCTCCACATGACACTGCCCAGAAGACAAGCAAATTGCATCTCTTGATGGATGCCAGCTATTATATACACTGGGTTGGAAATCTCCATATAGGGAAAGAGAAACGAACAGAGGGAAGACTGAACAAAAACACCGATATGCAGAGAGAAGTTTTGATGGAAAGAGAGAGGTGGTTAATTGCTGGCAAACTCAGATTTGGCAAAACACTGCATACCATGAAATATCTGTGAATATGTAGATACTTTCACACATTCACACACATCATAATAGCTTTTAGGATAGCAAATAAAATTCATGTATCTGAAACCTAACAAATTCAAACTGTATGTGGTTTTTAACGCAGTGTAGAATCTGAAAACGGCAACTTTGTGGCAGAGAAGAAACTTAGGTCATTAATACTGCAGGTGTAAGTATATATACTAGTGTTATGCAGAGGATTTACAAAATCTGAAATACAGTATTTGACTATAACAAGATGCTCTGAGAAGTGAACACTAACATTATAAATGCTTATAAGTACACAGGAAACTCCTGATGATGCTGTTTGTTAGGAACTACAGTTCCGCACACGGCTTTGGGTCCTTGTTCGAGGAGAGGTGATGGGCAAGAGGAGGATTTGATTCTGAAAGCAAAAAGCACTGCCATCAGAAGGCTGCCGATCCCTTAAGGGATCATCCTGGGGACTGTTTTATGGTGGAGTATCAGTCCAAAAAGTCCTTTTCTAGATTCTTTCTGTAATACTGTTAGGGAAAATACGCTAGATTGATGAAATGTATGCAAGATAATGTTTACTGCTTCAGCACATTTTCATGACTCGTGTCCTGATGTGGGTTAATGTGCAATATAAAAGTTTATTAGGAAGATGACATTGCACCTGCAAAAGGTAAACATTAGTTTTTATTCTCATCCAAAGTTTTATTTTCAATAATATAGTCATTATTAATTCTTAGGAAAGTGCTTAGCACATAATGAGTCAATAGTATTTATTCATCAATTCAAGGAATAGAACAGGTTGCTGAGTAAAACAGGTTGCTGACATAAAATTGCTAAGCTGAAAAAAAAAAAGGTAAATTAATTCTCAGTGTAGAGTCACCATTTATGGGGAATATTTTCTTGAAGACATACATTCCTCGGGGCACCTGCGTGGCTCAGTAGATCATGATCTCACAGTTCGTGTGTTCAAGCTCTGCTTTGGGCTCTATCCTGACAGCTCAGAGCCTGGAGCTGCCTCAGATTCCGTGTCTCCCTCTCTCTGTCTCTGCCCCTCCACCCCTCATGCTGTCTCTCTTGCTCTCAAAAATAAATAAACATTAAAAAAATTTTTTTTAATTAAAAAGAAAAGAAGTTATACATTCCGTGTTGTTAGGGCTTTTTAATTCTGTTCTGGGTTTAGGATTTTATTATTTTAAGAAAATGATTGCACAATTCCTGTCTGAGTGAAAGAATTATAAAATTATTTCAGGCAAGAGTCCGTAAGCGAGGTGTTGTGGATTTCATTTTCATCAGAGAACTTCTAGAAAGGTTGTTGTTCTTCTGCATGTATCTTGAGATCTGTTACCGTTGAGCTGCTCCGTTCTTTTCCTCCTCAGGTGTGGAATCCATAGCATGTTCCCCTTACATTTAGCTGCCCTAAATGCTCACTCTGACTGCTGCAGAAAGCTGCTATCATCGGGTAAGTAACCCCATTACCACAGATGAGGCTTAATGTGTCCTGTAAATGAGCCAGACGGCTCTAGGTGTCTGATTAGAGTAAGTGGCTGCCTGCACTTCATGATATTCCTGACCTGGTCTGGGGACAGCTCCCAGCAGTACTTGGTGCTGTTACTGTTTGAGTGTCCGTATTCCTGCCCCAGAGTGAGAGCCTTGTCTGTTTTTCAAGTTAAAGCTTGGGTGATCCAGAGTGAGAGGCAGGAAGGGATGGCTGTAGCTTACCGGAAGTTTGTTGTAATCAGAAAAAACACCTTCGAGGCTGAAAATGGCGGATTTAACAGTGAATCTTTTCAACAAAGGAAAAAGGGCAATTCCCCACATTTTGACAGTAGAAATGTCATGTTACCTCCCCATTCTGTGGCCTCTGAAAAATCACTACAGTTCGATCCCCTTCACCTATGTTTAATTTTTATTTTTTTAAGTATGGGACTGTTTAGAACCAAGAAATTCTTTCTGGTTTGGAGCTTTGCTAATCTTTCTTATCACTGCTTCTGCCAACCTCCATGTATTAAGAAGTTCCTGGCTTTCAAAGGTGATAGAGGTCTGCAAGGCAAAGATTGTTTATGAATTAATTCAACAGACATCCCAGAGGCATTTTTTTCCTTTTAAGTGCTTTACCTATGGTTGATTCTGCTTTCACTGCTTTTGGCATGTTTAAAAATAATCCCTGCATGAAAGCATGTTTCCCAGATCTTAAACCAACTGAAAGCTAATAATACACATAAGAAAATATCTACTCCAGCATGTTAAGATTACTCCTTTGCTGTCCATGTTTTCTCCATGTGTTCTGTCTGCCTGTCTATTGCCCTACTTATCTCAAATTGGTTTCATAAATTTCTACCCTGGGATTGAAATATGGGGCTGTGGTTCACCCAGGGCTGAATGTGAAAATAAATTCTTCTAGACTTCACGGTTCTTCCTATAAAATTGCCAAGCTTGAGCAGTTACCATTCGTTTCCATGACAACCTCTTTCTGACTACAATTGCTTGCATTCTGGTTTTTCTACTAACTGATTTTTCTGTCTCTGCAATGTTTCTTGTGGTTTAACTAGGACAAAAGTATAGCATAGTATCCTTGTTTAGTAATGAGCACGTGCTGTCTGCAGGCTTTGAAATAGACACCCCAGATAAATTTGGAAGAACGTGCCTTCATGCTGCCGCTGCAGGAGGGTGAGTAGTTAGCAATTTCAGTTGTTATTTCATGACTTAACTCCTCTAATTTATCTTCATTGACTCAAGTTGTCTGTGAATCAAAGTCAATTTCTGTAGTAAGATGGGTAAAGAATCATTTCTACCAACACCAAATATCATTATCACTATTGCACTTGCAGATTAATTGTACGTTTGTTCTTCTAAAGAAAAATTGTTGGCCCATCTCATATAGAAAATCATTTTTCTTGTGTTTTCCATTCTCTTCCTTTTCCTTATTTTTTTTTAAATTGTAGGTCTTCAAGCCTTATAGAATGTGTATCTAGCTGATACTCTACCAAAAGAAAATAATTTGAGATTTGTTCCTAAGTTTTTCTTTTTTTGTTGTTGCTAGTAGATGGATGATGCGCAAGGGAATCCAAGATTGAATTAGTTCGTGTTTATTTGCAGATATTTTTGTCCTTATTTCAAAGCTGATTTTTAAGTACTTAAATGGTTAAATGTGAACAAAGGTCAAGAAAACCCAAAGGATAGGCAAGAAATGACTTAATCCTTGCCTTTTTTTTTTTTAAGTTGTAGAGAGCATGTTTTAATCAGGTACTCTTCTTCATATCAGTGGTGAAATTAAGCCTCTGATCAATATGTTATTGATATATGACCATATATTGACCAAACATGGCCTCTCTCAGATGACCTTGTTTGGGTAAGGTGTTAGTTCTTAATCAAGTTTCTTGTCCTTAAGGAGAAGCAATACCTCCCCATTTGTCATCTGTACATTATCAAAGGTATTACCTCTTTATCAGAGGTGGGTTGACTGTGAAACTTCAGGGCCTTTATTTGCATGGGTCCCTTCCAAAATCTTGTTATTTAGTTTTATATTCATAGTTATGTATTATTTTTTAAATGAATCTCCCTCTACCCAACTCCTCTCCCCAAATGAGTCTCATGAGCCACACAACTAGATCTGCCTCTGCCCTTGATCCTTTGGGTTCATTCAGTAAGAGACAGGTGCCTCCTATCAACGGGCACGCTACACAGACACATAATGGTCTCAGAAAGTTCTTATATTTGATGACAAAAACAGCTAGTTCTCTGAGAGAGGTGACTACAAAGGGTGGATGGGGGGGGCACCCTGCTCAGGGTCATCATTAATGAGATCATTTTTCATACTTAAATGATAATAAAATAGTAAATCTGAGACTACTTCTCAGCATTCCAAGTTTAAAACAATAATGGATGATTGTCTCTTTTTATGCTGACATTTGAAAAAAATATGAGACCTACACGGAAAGTGGAAACACACCATTCTGGATTCATATCTGAAATTCCTAGTAGAATTAATATTCAGCTACATGCCCTTCAATAGGAAAATTCACTTCAGTGGGTCCTTTTTTCTTTACTAAATATGATTTATTGCTTCTGCAAATGACAAAGAAGCTTTGGAAGATCACTATGCTCCATTACATCACTTTTGGCCTTTTATTTTTTGCACATTTATTTACCTATATTACAAAGACAGGGAAATGCAGCTGTTTTATTTTCCATTATGGAGAGTCTGGGTTGAAAACGATTATCACAGTGAATTCATTCTGCTGTGATAAAAGGTAACGCTTCTCCATTCTGGCTCATTGTTTAAAGGTGATGCAAAATCATCATATGTTTAAGGGGTTATTTCCCAAACCCTTGATGCTTTTGAAAGAGAATTTTAGGATAAATGATGAAACCATCACTTAAATGTTTAATCATGTAATAATAACCATGTAAAAATTAAATACCTTGGTCATGGAATTGAAAATGTTCCATCAGGCTCTTCCATGCGTTGATTTATGGAAAAAGGAATTCCAGGAACTTTAGATCCTTGCAATATTACCTTCCTCATATGTTCACGTTGTTTTTGTGTTAGCAGAATTCAAAGCTGGAACTATCATTTCATCTTGGCCCACACTTCACCAAAAACAGCTCTTTCTGAAGGTAGCCCAGCAATTGACGTCTACCATCTTAATAATGTTTTCCCTGTCTTTCTAGTAACGTGGAATGTATAAAACTCTTGCAGAGCAGCGGAGCAGATTTCCATAAAAAGGACAAGTGTGGGAGGTATGTAAACAGGGAACTCTGCTTCAAGTGCCTAAGTAAAAGGAGTGGGGAGCAATCCATCTGGAAATCATGTTATACTGAAATGGTAAACAGGGAAGCTAGCTGGGGAGATTCTGTCCTCAGAAGGAAATCCCTTTTTGTAGTGAAATACAACAAAGCAGGCACAAGCCCCCAGGAAGGCATCTCCTCTCACAGCTCTGTTTAGAAATGTCAGTTGTGTCTTCTTCCAGTTTTTTTTTTTTCCATGCATCTCTCTACCCCTCCTCTCCACATGCACCCTGGCTCTTGGAGTTGCTACAGATTTCTTCTCTTACCAACCTACCTATGGTACTCCTACCCACCCTTCCAGACTTAGGTTAAGTAACACCTCCCTCCCCTTCCCCTGATACCCTCCATACTTCACAACTGAAGCACATATCACACTGTTCTAGTGGACTCTCTGTTTTGTCTCTCCTCTTACCTGTCCATGGCTCTCCTGAGGAACAGGACTGGATCTTGTAAAATACTTATAATTTACTTTTGGGGGGATGAAAGAGGAGAAAGTCAACTAGTAAAAGAGCCCATACATTGACTTGAAAATATAAAAGAGTGGTACTTGAAAATTAATCAATAGTTCTTGAAGTAAAGTTATTCACTTTGATATAAAGTAATTCATTTGATTATTATACCCTAAATATTGGCTAGGCACACCAGATAAACTGTTAAATAATTGGGGACTAAAAATAAGTAATATAAAATAAATTGCTTCATGTTTCTGCAATGCCTTACTCTTTATAAGGTGCATGTGTTTCTTATATATTACCCATTTGGTTTTTCATGGTCTCTCTATGAGATATATGGGGATGCTTATTATCCTTTTCTAATAGATGAATAAAAGTGGCTTGGAGAAACTAAATGAGTTATACATGTAATAAATTTACATGTGCATGTAAAATTCTAGGAATTTTAGACTAGAATAGATGTTAGGGGACAGCTGCTCACAGGTCCTTATTGAAGCAAGGGTGAGCAAGCCCAGGCCCAGAGAGGGGATGTCGTTTGGTATAGCTCATGGGCATTGTTCTTCCCATTAACCTACATCCCTACCCCCAAGGGGCTTGTAGTAATGGGTGCATCCAGGGGAGAGACAGATACTTTATAAAGGTAGTTTGGGCCCAGCTTGGGGAGGTCTTCCATTCCAGACTAAGGAATCAAGGCTTTGCTCAGTGGAGAGGACCGATGGCTTTAGAACAGGATGTCGTATGTGGGTATTGGACCTTAGAAAATCCAGTTCTTCATTCATACCAATTAGAAATAGATAGAAATTTGATTAGAGCTAAGGAGGCCAATAGGGATGGTATTGTAATAGTCTGAAAGAGCAGTAATGTAGATCTGAACCAGGATAGGCACTAAGAATGGAAAGAAAGGATAGATCCTCAGGTAGGTGGCCGTGTCTGAAGCCACTGTCTTTGTATCCTCAGCTCCAATGTATAAATTCAAATGAAGGCATGTCCCTTGGCATCCACACTCTGAGAGCTGAAGAGCTTTCCCCACTCCCAGGAATAAGGCTGTCAGTGCTAATGCTGATGATGGTGGGGGGGAGGTCTGTTTTTCAGACTGAATGAAGTAAGAAATTGCTCTTTGTTTTTCAGGACGCCTTTGCACTATGCAGCTGCAAATTGTCATTTCCATTGTATTGAGACATTAGTGACCACAGGGGCCAACGTTAATGAAACAGATGACTGGGGACGGACAGCTTTGCACTATGCTGCTGCATCAGACATGGATAGAAAGTAAAAACAGCCTTGCTCAAATTTACTTTGGGGGTATGGCTACAGGGGGAGGGTTTACTCAGTTTTCTTCATACTGCCTCATGGAAACTGTGAGTGAAGAATCTCCCTCATCCAGGGCCAGAGGAGTTAGAATTGCCTCATCCCTAATCCCAGTCTTCCCATTCTGCTCTCTTTATGTTTGATTATTACGTGTCACTGCCCAATTATTTCTCTTCTCTCGTCTTTGGGTTGAATGCCAAGTGGAGCTGTCAAGCCCATGTTTTCAGTTCATTCGAGATCAGCTGTGATTTATTTTGTCATATACTGCAGTTGCCATCATCACCACTTAAATGCTTCATTGGCTCTCAAACTTACATTCGCTAATAAATACATCACATGTCAAAAATATCCATCCATGTATAATCCCAATAGCCTTCAAATCCAGCGTTGGTATGTGTAAAATTGGCACTCTTTCCAAACCTGGGCAAGAATGCTCTATCAGGAGCTGGAGAGAGGAAGCTGGAAGCCCTGGAGATGTTTGGATTCTAGGTGTCCAGGGATGAAAAGCAGAAGTGAACCAGGTCAGGTGAAATGGTGTGAGAGGTGCCCACAGCTTATGAGATTGTTCTCAAAGACTTGAGGACCAGGGCCTCCTTCAGAGGAATGCTTTTTGGTGACCCTGTTTGGAGAACTATTGACTTACTTGCCACTCTGTGTTACGGAATTGATTCTGGGTCAGTGCTAAATTCTATTCGTATACATCAGTGGCTTTTAAATATTTTACACAGTGACCCACGGTAAGAAATACATTTGATGTCATGACCCAGTATATGTACTCAAATATATAGGTTTTAAATACCTATATGTCTATGTAGATGTGTGTGTGTGTGTGTGTGTGTGTGTGTAAAAAGGAGGCAGAATTTCATAAAACCATATTTACTTTTACTATGTGTGATGATTCTGATATTTTCTCTTTTATCTTGTTAAAAAAAACCCTAATTACTGCAGTCTACTAAATTAATTTCATAATTCCATAATGGATTATAATCCATATTTCCAGTTTGGGAAACACTATTTTTCTTTTTATGTTTACATAATATTGGCAAATCTGATGTCCCTACACTCTGGATCCCGTAGACCCATAGGTTATTAATTCGACAAACATTTATTGAGACGTTACTACATAGCAGGCTCTATGCTGCTCACTCAGAAAAGAATGTGGGAGCAAGTACCCTTCAATGTTAAAGCTGAGAAAGGAATCCTATGTGATGAAGAATTTCTCTGTCAGTTGAAGAGTGACTAGAACCCCATTCCTGGATAAGTGAGATGCTGAATTGACAAGGAGGCAACAAGGAATGTGGTGGGAGTCGTCAGGAAGGTCTAAGCTAAATTGCCTCCTATTTACTTGGGGAGTTTAGGATATTTATAGAGGGGAGGACGACTTGATTGTTGTCTTACTCACTGAAACCAGGGTGGAAATTCTAGGAAAGTTATGTTCTCAGTTGGGTTTCTTGGGAGAGAATAGATTTACTGGATGGCCTTTAAGAGAACCACGTAGATCCTCAGTGAAAATCAGGAGTGCTTATTTCTTTTGGGTTGGGGGAGAAGTTGTTGAGATAGAAGTTGTACCAAAATCACTAGCAGCTTTGCCATTAAAACAAATAATTGTAATTTTTTTTCTTTCCCTTATGTTGAGAAGTAAGACTATCTTAGGAAATGCCCATGAAAATTCAGAAGAACTTGAAAGAGCCAGAGAGCTGAAGGAAAAGGAAGCCGCATTGTAAGTTTCTTCTCAGCTTAAAGCACAAGTTGTAATTACTGATGCTTGTCTGCTTTTCTGGGTTGTCACGTAGGGCAGCCCTTGCTATTCTAGGGTTTGATTTGGGATATTGAGGAAGCGATATGGGCTTGTCTTTAGTGAAGAGGAAATGGTTCTTTTAATATATCCCTTAATTATGTTATTTTTACACAAGGAACTCTTCCTAAAATTGAACCCTTTGCCAAGACCATCACTGTGATTGGTCAGTAGTTTTTAGGAACAGGTGTCTTAAATATCATTTTTGACTGCCATGCATCATATGCCTCAGGGGACACATTAAGCCTCCTCTCAGGCCATCGGCTCTCCTTTAATGACCTGGGGGTAACTATTTACCAGGTTCTATAAATAAATGTTTTGAAATTTCAGCGTGCAATACTGTGGTTGTGTTCTCCCTCCCCTCCCCAACCCACAAACATCAGCTCACAAACAGTCCTTCACTCTTTCCCACAACTTCTCCTGCCCCACCTCATCCCACCTCTCTCTCTGGCTTCTGACAGAGACTTAGCTAGTACTGTGACAAGGGCCAGAGTCCCTGCCATCACCCAGGGGGGTTGATGCACAGGAAGCTGTAATGCCTCATCCTCTGAGAGTCCTTGTGCAACAAAGCAGAGTGTGAAGGTTGTGCTCTGCTCAGTGCAGTAGCCAGCGTGTCGCTGGTGTTCAGTGACTGTTTGTTAAACAGCTGAACAAAGGAATGATTGCTGCCCACACTTTGTGTCCCGCCTCCTTGAAACTAGTGGATACAGTTCTCTTAAGAGTCTGCACCCACACAGTTCCTAACTTGTTTATTCTCTTCTCCAGTTGTCAGAAGAACCAATTTCTTTGTGACCTGAAGGCTTGTGTCCCCTCTAGGGTCTTCCCACTGTCCACTGGGCTGTCCTCCCAGGTCCAGACTATTGTGGAAGAGAAGTTAGAAAGTGTGGCCCTGATACAGGTTGTGGGATGTAACTTGGGCTGTTACTGGGGTGGGGACAGGAAACATAGCCATGAGTAAAGTAGAATGACCAAGGTTTTGCCCTAATATTCCAAACTTAATGATATTCAAAGACTGTAGAATTTTAAGCCACATCAGCCAGCGCCCCCTTCTCCAGTGAAATCGTGCCAAGAACAGCCCTCTTACCCTCTTACGGCTGATGGAGAGGGAAAAAGCAGGACAGGCAGGGGAGGCAGGGAACCAGGCTTCCTGAGAGCTCTTCCGAGCAGAGAGGCTACATCTCTCATCCAGATACATCTCTGACTTAATGTGCAGGTCTTGATTTTGCAGCGCAGGTGCCCAAAGTGGTAGCCACAGCCCTGGGAGGAGAAGAGATAAGCATCCCCAGTTAAAACTGGAATGTATTGGGGCGCCTGGGTGGCTCAGTCGGTTGAGCGTCCGACTTCGGCTCAGGTCACGATCTCATGGTCTGTGAGTTCGAGCCCCGCATCAGGCTCTGGGCTGATGGCTCAGAGCCTGGAGCCTGCTTCCGGTTCTGTGTCTCCCTCTCTCTGACCCTCCCCCGTTCATGCTCTGTCTCTGTCTCAAAAATAAATAAACGTTAAAAAAAATTTAAAAAAAAAAGTGGAATGTATTTTCCCTTGGAAACGATATGGAGAATATTCAAATTCTACAGTGCTGTTGTCTTTTCAAATCACACTGCTGGTAGTATAGTTCAGCTATATCCTGGGGTAAATGACACTTTGGGAGCAATTCCAAGTGTTTTCCGAATTACGTATTAAATCCGCCAACTGGTTTTTTACAATGTGACTCTTTCAGGATCTGGGGGTTGTGAATCCACTAGAACCCTTTTCCTATTGAATGATTTTATTTCAAGAGCCAAATTCTATTTAAAATGAGTCATACCTGGGATCCTGTCCATGGACATTTAATTGCCAAAATAAAAAAAGACTTCCTTTTAAGGTACAAATCACCAAAGACAGAATGATATCAGAACTCCAATAATAGTTTGATTTATTATGGAGCATTTGGTGGATAAATCAGGTAACTTGTAGATATTTGGTGTAAAAAATTTGTGTCTTTTATCAGTTTTTCTAGAAATTAAAATATCTGTGTTAATCGTCTCTATGTGTGACTTATTTACTCCTTTTGCCTTATGCCAAAAGATAGGTAAGTGTTTGAGTCACAGGATGATGTATGGAAGTGTTGAATTATTGTATTGTACACCTGAAATTAATATAACATGGTATGTGAACTAACTGGAATTAAAATAAAAACTTTAAAAAAATTAGAACCAAAAATAAAGTGTTTGAGGAAACAATAGGCATTTTCCCTTGGATGGTCTTATTTAATGCACATGCTTCCATTGCATATTTTGATGTAAGTATAATTTGAGCATTTGAGAATTTTGATTTGAGTATGAAATTGAATCAGCTTGACCTTGTAGAGGACACATTTGTCCCACTGCCACGGATATAAAACTGAAATTATGGAGTGGTGCTTCCTGACTGCTTATTCCCTCTTTGACCAGAAGACCTTGAACAGAATTCCTACATCCCCCGGCACTTGTGTCCTGGGCTTTGGGGCATTTCAGCCAAGTCGGAGCCACATCACACCCCTACCTCCAACCCATTGTAAAGATTGTGGCTCTTTTAGAAAAATTATAATTCTTTCCGAAAAGGCTTTCTAAGTTTATTATTAATTATTTTGTTCTAGTCTATACATAATGATGCAATTTAAGCATCTTTCTTCAGATGTGGTTACTGAGTTAATCTTTTATATTTTTTAAGTGTTTGCCCGCTCCTTTAATCTTTTTATTATTTGGGCGATTCTTAAGTTCTTTTGCTGTTGTTAATTTCTTATTCTTCCTAATTTTCATTTTCTAACCTTTGGATTGATGGTAGTCTCCAATAGCAAGGTTAAAAGTAGATCCCTCTCTCTTGCTGTAATGGCCTGACCACTTCTTTGTTACACTTGAGAGCTCATCTTTTGAACGTGGAACTCAAAAACTCATTACTCAGTAATCCTGATGACAGACAGGTTCTGTACTTTAAGGTGAAAAGGAAAAAGAGACTTAATTATTCTTTATTATGCTAAGTGAAGTAAGTCAGAGAAAGACAAATATCACATAATTTCACTTATGTGTGGAATTGAAACAACAAAACAGGTGAACAAACAAACATAACCAGACACAGACCACAGACTCATAAGTACAGAGAACAAACTGGTGGTTGCCAGAGCATAGGGGCAGAAGAATGGGCAAAATAGGTAAAGGGGATTAGAGATACAAATTTCCAGTTGTAAAATAAATAAGTCATGGAGATGAAAAGTGCAGCACAGGGAATCAATAATATTGTAGTAACATTGGTGACAGACGGCAGCTACACTTGCTGTGGTGAGCACAGCATAATGTATAGAATTGCTGAATCACAATGTTGTACACCTGAAACTAATATAAAATTGTATGCAAACTATAAAAACAAAACCAAACATCAATGCAGGAAGAGACAAATGGATTATTGTAACAGAACAGAGTCCAGAAATGAGCCCATGTGTGGATAAATACGCAATAATTGATAATGACATTAAAACAACTCAGTGAGGAGGGGATAGTACTTTCAATAAATTGAGGTGGGGGACGGTACTTAACTACCCTCTTGTTCCTAAAGCTTTTCCTGAATTCTAGAATGGCTATTTTAAGCTGAAGTAAAGATGGATACAGAAAACACGAACAAGTAAAACTTTTAATACATAAACCTTCATTGCTGTAGGATATTTTTAAAAGTTTATTTATTTTGAGAGAGAGAGAGGGGGGAACAGAGAGGGGGAGAGATGGAATCCCAAGCAGGCTCTGCACTGACAGTGCAGGGCTCAAACTCATGAACTGTGAGATCATGGCCTGAGTCAAGATCAAGAGTTAGAAGCATAACCGACTGAGCCACCCAGGCACCCCGTTCCTGTAGGACTTTTAAAGAAACACTTAAATTCACAAAGTGCTTTGTGGAACATTTATAATAGGAGAATATTTACATTAATTATAACTTTTACTCTAGAGATGTTTTCTAAAATAACACCCCATTTTTATACTTGCAGATGTCTAGAGTTTCTGCTTCAAAATGATGCAAACCCATCTATCCGGGACAAAGAAGGTTACAATAGCATACATTATGCTGCTGCCTATGGCCACAGACAATGTCTGGAATTGGTAAGCTGTTCTGTCTTGTTTTGTTTCCTCTAACACACACACACACACACACACCACACCACACACAGACCCAACCCTGAAAATGCTGGTCTTAATCTCTCACAAATGCCCTCACTGCCTAATTAAGTCCCCACTAGAAATCACCTTGAAGATATTCTGTGGTAAATGATTATATGTTTACTTTACAACAGGTAGATCTCATTGTTTCATTTCTGTGCATCCTAATCTCACAGCTACTGCTTTTCCATATTAACTTGGACTAGGAATGTTAGACCTCTGTATGGACAGTTTGTATTTTAAAGATAATTTGGATGTATCAAAAAGGTTCAGTATATATTTCCAGTCACACTTATCACCCTATGTGTTGTAAGATGACTTAGATAGCTGCTAGGCATATGGGTTTGTCGTGGTCCCACATCTGTAGTCTAGAGAGAGAAATTGACAAGGGCTCAACAGCAAAATTTATTGGAATTTCCAAACTGCCCCAAATTTCAAACCTGCAGCTATCGAAAAACACCTGGGGTTTTGGAGTCAGAAATTCTTCCACTGGTATAGGTCATCAGACACAAACTTAAATGACCACAGGGACAGAAATGGAAAGTAAGCCAGTGAAGTGAGCCCAGGTGTAGAGCAATAGGGAGCAGTGGGGACTGTGGCCAGTAGGACATGTTATGTCTAAAGGGAGAAACAGCCAGTCAGCTCCAGTGGGTGAGATCAGGTGGTAATTCATACTCAGGGATGAACTTCAGTGTTTCAAGGAAAGCTAGAAATGTAGACTTTTTATGTGAAATTTCCTATTTCAAAAACACTGGGTGGACCAGGAAGAAAACCTACAGATTTGTGGTTAAATCCTGGCTGCCGGCCACCATTTGTCATCTCCTGAGCATCGCCCATGGGTCAGCTTCACTAGGACGCATGGGGCATCCCAAACTCACTATCTTTGGTCCGTTGGTAGGTGCCACCTTCCTCAGTGGACTCCAAGTCTTTTCCTTGTCTTTTTAAAAGGAGTAGTCCTGGGGAGACTGGGTGGCTCAGTCGGTTAAGCAACCAACTTCAGCTCAGGTCATGATCTCCCAGTTTGTGAGTTCGAGCCCTACATCGGGCTCTGGGCTGACAGCTTGGAACCTGGAGCCTGCTTTGGATTCTGTGTCTTCCTCCCTCTCTCTGCCCCTCCCTGCTCATGTTCTGTCTCTCTCTCTCCTTCAAAAACAAATAAACGTTTTTTTAATTAAATAAATACATAAATAAATGGAGTAGTCCTACTTTTCAGAGTTATTGGGGAGATATGTTTGAGAAAACACTTGTACTTTATCAACTGCACAATCTATTAAGGAAGGCCTGAGGCGGAAAGCCAGCAAGCAGTTGTGTCAGTGCCTCCATAGAAATGACTGAATGATGTTCTAGCTGGTTCCTTTACCTTTGACCTTGCTGCCAGATTTAAGTGGTTCCACTTAGGGTCATTCTTACTATATTTCTCTTAACCGTGAATGTGGGGAAATGTTCATAAACATTTGAAAATAGAGAGGTGATTATTCTGGTGTTGGTAGGTGTGGCATTTATTGGTGAATTATATCTACCATCATCATTCTTGAAGACTTCTAAGTCTCCTTTCCTGAGGTTCTTGTGGTTTCTGAAGACTTCCTTGTTTGACCTTGAAGGTGTCATTTTCCCCCTACTCCTGATTCTGTTATAGCTCCCCTTCCAGTTACAGAGGCTGCAAACGAATTACCCCAAAATTAGTGGCTTAAAACAACAGCAATTATTTAATATCTCTTATTGATCAGGAATTCAGGGGTGGCTGAGCTGAGTAGTTATTGTTAAAGGTATCCTATGAGATTACAGACAATGTCTGAGGCTCGGATAATCTCAAACGCTTCTTCACTCATGTCAGTTACCTGGCTTGTAAGATTTAAATAGCTTCTGGGGGGCTTCTTTCTGTGGTTTTCTCTAGCATGGTGGTTTCAGAATAGCTGGATATCTTACGTGGTAGCTCAGGGATCAAAAGGAGTGATCCGGAAGATCACTTCAGGGATCCAGAAGAGAGTGGGAGAGAGTCAGTGTGAGAATGAATGAGAGAAAGACAGTATCAGTCTTAATGATCTAGCCTTGAAGGTCACACAGGGTTACCCTAGAGAGGAGAAGTAGACTCCACCTTTCAAAGGGAAGAGTGTCAAAGGATTTATAGACATATTTTAAAACCATCCAGTTTCCTAGGAAGATGTAGAAAGCCAATGATTTCATAGCCTTCTGTAAGATGGACTTTAATGGAGAACCACAAGTGGCCAAGGGGCAATCCTTTATCTTATAGATGGGCAAACCAAACCACAGGGCATTAACTGGTTTGTGCCAAAGACATAGCCCTGGTCAGTGGAAGAAGCAGTCTCATGAATCAGGATTCCTGATTTAAAAAACAAAAAGTATTTTCTATACCATGCTGCTTTCCGTTGCAGGGCAAAGCTCTACCACCACCCAAGCCTTTTCAGCATAGAGCAAAAGCTTGGAAGGAACTGGTTAAGATGTAAGACAGGGTCACTTCTGCCTCCCAACACCAGCATTGCTGTGGAAGTTGATCTAGACCTATCACCATATAGGGCTCTATGTTTAGGTCCCATATAAGAAAGGCTCCTCCCAAAGTTTGTACGTGTGTGTGTCTGTGTGTTTAGTAATCAGTGGCAGAGAGTGAAGGCTTACTATTGTTACTACCCGTCATAAGCCTGCATTCCAAAATGTACTTAAGACACAGCTGTCTTTAATTGGTCTTCTCTATGAAAACCACATGTCATAACTGGACATACAAACTTTTATTACAAAGTTATTATAGTCTTAATAACTTTGCTGTTTTAAAGTACTTTGAGGAGTTATCTTTAATCCCATAGCATGAGTAACTCTGAGAATGATTGTTCTGTTACATTTTCTTTCTATGTAAATAATATATTGCATATTACTTTCATTTTTCAGGAAAGCCATTTCAGGGCCACTATTTCTGTTATCCAACAAAAACATTTTCTGTCCCTAAGAAGGTTTTGCAAGTTCTGTCTAATAATGAAATTACCCCTTGATTATATCGAAACTTGCCCTATGTGATTTACAAAGAAATGATTATTCTTGGCAATTTTAAGACATTCAAAAGTGGGTAGGGAAAGTATTCAGTGGTCTTAATTTGTACTGTCAGCTGAGAAAGCCAGACTATCAATATAAATTGGTAGAAAGGTCATCATTGTTTGCTTTCAGGAAAGGACCTCAGTGGGTTATTTATAACACAGACAGGATAAAAATTCTCCTCATAACCCTGAATGATTGTGGTTGTATGGAACATTCTGTATATTTCCATTTTGGAATGCATCCTCCAATTCCTCTTGGGGTGTGGTTCAACTAAGCAGAGATCCTAAGCAAGCTATCAACATTCTTGTACCTGCTCCCTCCCACTCAACACACAGTCCTGAGCTCTCCCCTAGGACCAGCATCATAGAGCCAGACCACTGCAGGCATCTTAGCCATACTGCTGGCTCGCAGCACTGTGAACAGATTTGGGAGTGGCTGAGACCACCATTAATGGCATTTACTACATGTTCGTCACATGCCAGGAATGCCATTTAATTATTTTTTCTTTCAGTTTTATTGAGATATATTTGACAACGACATATTAGGTTAAGGTATACGGGATAATGACTTGACTTACATGTATCGTGAAATAATTACCACAATAAGTTTAGTTAACATCCATTACCTCATATAGATACACACACACACACACACACACACAAAAGAAAAGAAAAGAAAAAAAAAGAAAAGAAAAGAAAAGAAAAAGAAAAGGAAGTGTTTTTTTCCCTTGTGATGAGAATAAGGCTTGTTCTTTTAAAAAAAATTTTTTTTAATGTTTATTTATTTTTGAAAGAGAGAGAGAGTGGGGGAGGGTCAGAGAAAGGGGGCACGGAAGATCCAAAGCAGGCTGTGCACTGACAGCAGTAAGCCTGATGCAGGGCTCGAACTCACAAACCGTGAGATCATGACCTGAGCCAAAGTCGGATGCTCAACCAACTGAGCCACCCAGGCACCCCAGGCTTGTTCTTGATACAAGAAGTAGGGTTTTTGAAGGGCACCTTTTCTAATTTATACTCCCTGTCTCTTTCTCTAGGACTACAATACCCTCAAATTCCTTAAAAGCCCCATTTCTTTGGGTGCTAGATATTAGGAAAGTAAACCACCTCACCAGTATGCTAGGTAAGGTACATTCCTCAGACTCACCACTGCCATGCCAGTCTGCTCCCTCATCTCACCACACAAACACCCCTGTCCTCCAGGGGGGCGGGGGATCCTTTTAACAAATCGATCCTGACTGTGCCAGCTGCTAGAATTACGCCAGTGAAAGACATGTTTCTAGTAGCCCTGAATGGCTTACTTGAGCCTCACAGCAGGAAGTATGCAGGGAATCATTTCTTTATGTCTCATTGCCTAGCCTATGTTTCTGGCCTGTGGAAGGAGTGGAGCAAATCAGTATTCATAGCCCCTGAACCTCTCCTGTGAGACCAGGGCCTTAGTCCTTTGGGAGCCGGTGTAGCATTGAGGAGGGTGGGTGGCCTTCGGAGCCAGCTGATTAGTAAGGTTGGTAACATTTGTCTTTCACCTCTCTTCTCATCTAGATGAGCAATTATTGTGATTATGCATATCATTAAATATGTATCATTAATTTTGATGCAGATTTTACTTGACTCTGACATTTAACTTGGTATGGGCTTACTTGGCATTCATGGTTCATGGCTCCTGTCTGTGATCATAAGCTTAGAATTTATAAACCATACTTTGTGTTCAGCCTATTTTGCTGTAATCAAAAGGGAACAGAAATTATTTTAGTCATTTTCATTCTACTTCCCTCATATAAAGTTATATGGAATTCATTCCTTGAGCAAACAACTTCTAGAAAGTAGTATGAACTCCTTAGCCTTGGTAGAATAGCCAAGGCTCGGGATTCTGCCAAGTTTGCCTACTTAGGCCAGTGTTCT